AAAATATTCATAACAAGTCTGCACCCTATGATGCCATTCACCTTAATGCCCATAATCTTCCAGCTTACTTACTACATGGATATCTGCAAAATTTAGTACCGCTGACAAATCTTATCTTTCTTTTTTTGGTAACTAAGTGAAAAAAAAACTGGTGAGACTCACAAGAAAAAAAGACCAGTTTCTGGTTCAAATTTTTTTCATGAAACATCAAGAATGTTGATCCGGGCACACATGAACAAGATACTGCGCCATCAACGGCAGACTGATTCCCTTCCTTCTTTTTTCTTTGTTTCAAATAAAATTTTATTTGAGCTTCCAAAAGTAAATGGTCATAGCAGTGGCAATTAAAAATATCAATAGTTTAACTTTTAAATTTTTTCACAAAACACTGTAAATACTTAAAAAAAGCAGAACAAACTAATAAAATATTGAATACAAGTGCTTGTGCCCTTGCAGAAGGAGTATAGTTGTTGGGCGGATGACATTCTGCACTCAGGTGTAAACAAACACTTTCAAAAAAAAACAAAAAAAAACAAAAAAAAACAAAACAAGAACCTAACATAACTGATGTTATAGCCGGGAAAAAATATTCAAGTTCATTCTTTGGAAACATTTATAGTTAGCATTGACATTCAAAAAGTTTAGGGCAAAAAACAAAAACAAAACAAGTTTTTTTCTTCAGCCAAGTTATTTTTTTTATTTTTTCCCTTCAACATCAATAAACTACTCATACTATATTTCATACAAACAAGTGCTATTATAACGCGACTGTATAGAGTGCAGGATTAATAATTGATTCAAAAGATTATATACCGAGTTATCTGAATAACAATTATAATAATTATGTATTGCAATCAAACTATGGCAGAATATTATGACTGGCATGTCAAATAAAATAGAATAAAAATGAATAAATATATGAATAAAAGAATATTATTGTTTTTTTGTTACTTGTTCATATTATATGACAACTATATTTATATTCAATCTGGTTAGAAATAATAAAAACGTTCAGATGTCCACGAGAAATAGAATAAGAGTAGTACCCTGAATATCACTGTAAATACGTATTCAATTATCTGTCAAAGAACGAGCATTCAACAGATCATGTGACAATATCAACGTGATTCACCTGGGATTGGCACTCCCAGTTATAGTGAAAAAGATAATTTTTCTGGTTGGCCACAGAGAATTAGAAACGTAAACATCACTTAAATTCAACGGTTAGGTAGCTTACCGGTAGCTTGTATAATTTCCTGATTTAATCTAGGCTGGTAGCAAGCATCATCCCTGTTAACCAATCCAAATGACATTTACTATAGCTGAATTAACGATTCTCCCACCATTATCTCTTGTTCATTTATTATCCCGCTTGTGGACGATCGTAGCCTGACGCTTTTCCTGTTTACATGATCAGGGCTACTTTGGGGCTCAGTCCTATCAGAGTTCAACCCCAAGCGTATATTGGAGCCAAACCCAACTCCAGCTAAACGTGTTTACATTGAAAATGTTGTCGGTCCCATGAGAATATAAAGGAATGATACCGTAATACTGATGTTGTTTCCAAAATAACATTCTTTTATGATAAAACTAAAATTTAAAATATATTATATCTAGTGTGAACAGTATAAATTCACCAAAAATATAATTCATGTACCGGGGCTAACATGATTTTAATTCATGTACCGGGGCTAACATGATTTTAATTCAACTATGTATTACATTTTTGCTAACAATCATACTCGCCAAGTAGGATACTCTCTGAATTGTAATTAATATTCACAAAGAATTAAAGTTACTGCAACACCTCATTTTTGAAAAATATTGTAAATTTACTACAGTTTGGCAAAGGTAAAAACTATTTTGTTTCACTCGACATGCAGAGACGCCAGAAATCATCTTTACACCCAGAGATGGAACAGGACACATTTCGTCCTCTTCCACACTGTGAAATGTCCGTGCACATAGACGTGTTGAGAACACTGTGCTCATCGTGGTTGTATAAGTTTCAATTGGTGTACATAAACAACATGATTGAATCACATAGGTAATAACTGTAACATCATAAATTTTAAAACCCAAAATTTGAGAACTTGCAGACGAACACTATTCAATGCCTATTAATTCCTATTCTGTTGAAAAATCACCTTGTACCAGGTAGCAATTCACTTTTGATAAGAGTGAGTGAAAGGTGGATTTGGGAGGGAGGATAAAAAAAAACCAGAATGTAGGCGAGACATGATTATCCAAACCTGTGGGAGTGATCTCTAAATATGCTGCAAAAGTAAAAGTTTTGATATTCGATCACAATCCTCTATGCACAATACATTTAGTAAAATGCAGATTCAACCATTTCATTACGTATGCATCTACGTGTGCATCTACTAAAGAAGAAAGTCAAATCAGGGCAATGTAGACCACAAGTTTTTGATATTTGTTGAGTGTTAAATTTTGACAACAATAAAGTTAGGTACCTTTTCAAACAAATAAATGGCCATAGGTCTTGATTCCAAACCACAGCCTCTGGTAGTCATTTCCAAAACTAAATTAATTGTCAGTTGGGAGCATTACACTCTGGGCACTGCGACCTGATTGGCACTGTCAAAATTTGTATTAGAAGCCGCAGCTTCTATTGAAATGATACAATGCAACATAGCGTATGCAAAGCATCTATTTAAAGTATCTGCACACATGAGATTTGGTAAATTTTTCACTCTCAATAGTTCAAAAAGAATGGATGTAGCTACTATTTAGGATGCAGCTTCTAATACAGATTTTATGGTACAAATCGCAAACTATCAGAATTTTAAAAAACTTCAAAAAATTTAAATATTTTTTAATTCTTTCTTAAAAAGTTGCCTATGAAGAGGTAGCATGGCTGGTGTACGGTTGTAAATAAAAAAAAAAACATCCTTGTTAATTTTATTAGCATTTCCCATAATGCAACAGTAAAATAACCATGCAACATTACTTTTGTGGAATAATTCAATACCTCTATCTGGTTGGTTGGTATTAAATTTTCAACCTCTCTACAACTCAGTTTTATTGAGATTTAAACCACTGGTGGATTCGCTTCTACAAGTGGTTTTCTTTCTTCTTCTGTTCCTGTTTCCTGTGATTTCTGTTTACCATAGCGAGCAAATTGCATTAAAAGCTGATCACACAGTTTAGGAATGACGTCACTAAATATTGATAATGTAATTAATTATGCACAAAGAAGAGTAAACAAAAACGGCAACCATATTTAGAGGTTAATAGCGGCAAATGAGTGTACTGTAAAATGGTTAATTATTCACTGGGTTTTAATTTTGCTTATTTAGCTGACTGGAAAATGCGCTAAATTAAAACCCAGTGAATATATAAAATTGAGCATAAAGCATGTTATCTAAATGATAAAACTGTAAATTTAAAACTCACTGAATATGCCTGAATGGTAAACCAGAGAAATTTAAACCCAGTGAAAATTAGTCATTTTACAGTATAGTGGCTATAAGATCTCTGAAGAAAATTACCATATTTGGTGAGAGATAATAACCTAGCCAGTTTATTATTTGCCCCAAATATGCTAATTTTCACTTGAGGTCTTATATAAGCTACCAAATACCTGAGTGTACTGTTTATAATCTCATCATACCTTGCTCACACAAGAAATACACTACAAAAAATCTGTTTATTTCATGTTGCTATGTGAACATTTTCATCCTCTTTTCTTGGATTATACTACTTTTTTTAAGCGGTGATGAAGAGGTATGTTTTTTTTTTTTTAAAAACACCCAATAGTGTGATAATTTTGAAAATATAATACCCTGATTTTTACTATGTTGCATTATTGCATTTTGATTTGGAGTTTTATTTGTGTAAATTGACCATTCTAAACCATTTTATAGTCAGAATTTACCCGTTGTGTGGTACACGTTATTCAAATTCCAGGGTTAAAATGCACTCCATAGAACATGCTCATAGATGGGTGCATGACAAACTCAACAATTCTTGCATACCGGTAGTTCAACAAAATAAATAAACAAAGCCAAAAAAAGTAAACAAAATGGTTGATTCAGCCACTGACAATAATGGATGTCTTGATGATGTCATATGTTTGATTTGAATGCTATAAAGCAATTATTCATGCACTTTCCTCATGGGAAGTTTTCTCACAAAATGTGCTATAATATTAACATTTTTTGCAATAATACATTCGTTATTCTACTTGCACCAGGTTTCCCTATTTTGATCAGTTGATCTTACCCTGCACCATTAACAATCAATATTAACAGAAGACAGTCATTTGATCTTGATTCAGTTAGATGTTTAAGCCAGTTTATTAAATTTTGAAGTAGGATTACAGGTGTCAGGTATAAGCCATTCAGATGGCTAGATTCAGACTAACCATATTATATTAGTAATTGTTGTGGCATTGATTTAATTTCACAAGAACTTTGGTATTAAGACAGTACACTCCATCAACAAGAATACATGCAACTTGTTTTAAACGCTCAGTTGATAATTTCTCTAACAATTATGATATACTCTGATATACTAAATAAAAACAAATCATAAAATGACACTTTTATTTTTCCCTACTTGTTGGGGATGGGCAGGACTTACTCATAAGAAAAGTGAAAATTTTACCGGTAAATGCAATACAAATTCTTGAAATTTTGCTTGAGTGAGCTGAGGTCCCATCAAATAAATGACAAAAAAGCATTTGCCTGTTAGCATTGAACCTAGCAATTGGAAAAATGGGAAATATTCATACAATTGAGGGAAATAATTCAAAAACAAGTTTGGGCACCCCAAGCTAGTACAGCTAATCACAAAAAATAATTTAGCATTATTTTTCTAAAATTGTATTTTTCATTCTTGAATCCCAAATATATACGTGAATACATTTGTACCTCACTGAAATAGACATAACGTATGTTTCGAATTCATATGACCAAAACTCCCTATAAACCAAAGAATCAATGCATTTACAAATCACTGTTCAGTGTACTGTCTCCTAGCATTTGTTACCATCCACAGTCCCTAACAACAAAGACAGTCCCTAGCAACCAACATTTACTTAATAATATAGTTCTTTCAATTCTGACCTCAACGGAAATTCAATAAAAGGATACCATGCAATCAAATACCAGCGTACCCAGACTGCCGACTAACCACGGTAGATGACGAAGTATGAATAAATTCTCAATACTCTGCATCAAAATAGAACATCCATACGTTGAGTTACCAAGCACACTTATGATAAACATGAACATGGAAAGACCCTCCACAGACTGACGATTATACTGAAAATAAAGAAAACAATGAAGTTAACAAAATATCTGCCTGTTCCTCTGAATTATTAAAATATCTATTACTATGCAGCTTAGGTCTGATAATTAGAGATCCCGATAAAGTGATGGAGCATATTGACTTAAGTTGCCATGGTGATCACTAATTCTCCATAACAGATAATTGAGATGACAATAAGTAATCGCTCAGGAAGATTAGTTCTCTCTTAAGGCGTATGTAATACACACATTAAATGTCGTTAATGACTAAGTTGACAAACGATATACTTACATTTTGTAGTATTTGGGGAATTCTAGCACTCAAATAGAACAAGCTTGAGGTTATACCAAAGACGTATCCAAATATGTCTTCAAGATCCTATAATAAAAACAAAATGGTAAATACTGCAATCACTATTGTCTAATCACTTTGAATAATTTTTGATTTCCATTGTGTTTACTTTGTATTTAATTTGGGACTCTGCATGGGTTCTTAACCCTCTGACCATCAAATTTTATTTCTGTTACTACTAACAAGACTACAGGCAATTGAAAATTATGTGTATTTATTAAAACATTCGTCAGTGAGTTTTAGGACCAGATTCTATGTTTGAAATTACCGTAAGTAACAGAGCTATGTGACATCTTCTTACTATGATAACCCATCTCTGAAAGGTCAGATGACAAATCAATTTAGCACTGAGAAATTTTGTGTTTTCTTCCCAAAATCCAACTTCAATCGGGAGCATTTTAATACATACGTAATGCAAGAAACTTTAATTCAAAAATTTTAGCCAGCCATCCCTGTAGATGTAATTTCTGTTACAGACACTCCAACATTTAGACAAAAATTATACGACCACTTTTGATTGAGAATTTATGATTTTGAAATTACAAAATAACAATATTGATCACCAAAAATTAGTCAAAGAGTAGGTAACTCTTATTTTAACATAGTTTTTTACATTTTTCCTTTTTTTAGTAACTTACTTCACAAGAGACAAAACGCAAATCACTATATATTGTGAAATTTGTTAGCAGTGAAAATGTCTCCAGGGTCATGTGACTTGAAGTGTCAGCTACTTTCACTCTTTAGCAAAAACTTGCATACCACAGTGAAAAATTCCCTGAAAAAAAGAAGAATCACCTGCAAGGATACAGCACAATCTCCACTGTTTGCCGTGCTCAATCACAGGTATGAGACAAGAATAAACACCATTATCATTGTAGAAATTTGCCCCACAAAGTCATCCATATGTCTGTACTTACATAGAACACCGGTGATCCCAGCAACATTCTACCACCTGCATTCTGCCTTGACTCATAAACGTTCCCCGACTGTTGCCATGACAATTGTGAGCCGAATGATATTACAAAGAAGCAGCATATAGTAAAAAGTGGAGCACTCTGATTATAAGAACTACGGTTAATGCTAGAATCTTCAGTATCAACTGGTCGCATCGCTGCAGGGAAAAAGAAAATAACGTTTTTAATGCACGACTTAAAAATTAATGGGTACCTGTCAAACTGGCAACAGGAAAATTTGTGGTAAGTTTTTTCACCTTAAAACAATTGCAGAATTGACAACCATAATCTACAATACAGTTGTTCTGACAAGACACTAACAAGATTGTGCCTGAATGGCTGCCATACTATACATGTAACACCTAAAAGTCAAACTACTGTAAAATACTTTATTTTAAGTTCATTTTTGCTGAAAAAAATTTTTGGGTGTTTTGTATGGAATTTAATTTCACTGATTTTTGAAGAGTTGAATGTTAAATATTGGGAAAAAAAAAGAATATTTTATTTTTACTAAATCATTTCTTCAGCGAAAATAATAAAATTTAATTCCAAGCAAAAATAAAGTATTTTACAGTAATCACTCAGAGTTTAGCTTGTTTTTTTTTTTTTTAGATTTTTTCATTGTATCAAATTCTGCCTTGTATGGATGCTTTGAATCAACAGAGATATTTTTTTCATATACATAAATTTTTGTATTCTAAATTGTATATGCTAATTTTTTTAGAAGTGCATTGTCAATAGAAATGTACATAACCAAACGTTGTATTTACTTTATACTGGATCATTAAAAAATGACTGAATTTGACTAATAGACTCAAATCTGTTATTTATGTATAAACAAACTGCTAATAGAGCAAATACAGTATATTAAATTTCATAAACCAACACCCTCCAACCATATTGAATGTTATAAATGACCACTATCAGAATTACAGGTATTAATGATAGCTTTTAATTGTAACATGATAACGTAAAACTCTATTCTCAAATGAATTCTTTCCAAAAGATACGCCTCCCCCTTAAATTCAACAAAATTTGTTTAATTCTGATAGTGGAGATTCTTAACAACAATAATAAATCCTTCACAGGAGAAAGGTCAGAACACGATAATGAATTCGGCTTGGCTTCAAAAATTATCCCACCTTAGACTCTTCTCATTCAGTATGGTAATATAAGGATTTATTATTGTAATTTACAACTACTAGGACTACCGGTACTACAATTTTATCTTTCAGGAAGGCTAAAACTGTTTATTTAATTTATTTAAGATTTGTCCATGGTAATGTCCCATATTGCATTGCACATAGGCTCAGTAGATGCAAAATTTTTAATTTCGTTCCAATTGCTTGCAAAGTCTACTAGACATCTTGCTGGTCTATCATACTGTAATGAGGTATGCAAACACACAAAACAATCATTTTGAACTAGTGAAAAAAATAGATGGCAAAACTCACCTCTAAGTTTCCTTTTCTTTTTTAATGTATAAAAAGTGAACTGCCCAAGCATGAGTGTATCCATGCCACAGTAATAGTATGCTATGATGTGCTGTAAGAGAAAAAACTGCTTCTGTGAAATCTGTATTAGAAGCAGCGACTTCCATTAAAAGAAGAAATTACACCTCAAGAAAAATGTAGGAGAATGCAATTTACAGTTTTTTTATATCACTTTTCATTCTCTAGATTTTCAACTTTACATCAGTATTATGTAGTCAGCCATCTTGATTATCAAGCAAAGGATTATGGGTAAAGTATGACATCATAGAATCTGTTGTCAGAAATTGAGAATCAAGATGGCGGACTACATAAGTGATGTCAAAAAACTGTAAATTGCTTGTTCTTACATTTGCCGAGCTCTTTTATCTCTTAACCTCAACTTTTCCTTTAAAATGATACAATGCAATAAAGGTGGTGCAGTTTCTATTACATAATCTATACATATGAGAAATGGAGTATACAATGTATTAGGTTCTCAATTGTTCAAAAAGGATGAGTGTGGCTTTTAACAGAAATATAGTTTCTAATATAGATTTGACATTTGTGAACTGTTTATGCATTGTGTGCTTTGAACCCCAGTAAAATGTTTATGATTTACCGTTTCTACTGTAAATTTGTATCGGTGAAAATAAAATCCAGCGAAAATGTCTTTTCATCATTTATTTCATTTTACACTAATACCAGTGAATATATCTTCATAAAAAATAACCCAAATGACTTTTCAGTAATACCAGTAAAAATATCTTACTGGCTAATACAAAATGGCCAAAATGGCCTTTCAGTGAAAATGAATTCCAGCTGAAAAAATGGAATTTTACAGGAATACCAGTAAAAATATCTTCAAACAAACAAGGAAGCTAAAATGTCTTTTCAGTGGAAATTAATTCCAACTAAAATGAAATATTTTACAGTAGTATTTTTAGGTTTTCAGATAAAACATACTGGCGTAGCTTGAACTTGCATGTACAGCATAACTTGTCTATAATTGTAATTTGTATGTCAAGATTCTTACCTGTATTGGCAACTGATGCGCTAGTATACATCCCAACAAATTGGAAATATCTCCCAACATCCATATAAAGATAAAAAAGAAAGACACGCCTTCATCCATTTTTCCTTCTTTGATATTTTTGTAAATTTGCCTGGATGCAAAAAAAATAATGATGTCAGCAAACACCATGCTTTATTCAAGAAGATGTTTTTCTGAGAATAAGATTTTGTTTTTACTATTAAATATCATATATTACATAAATTGGCCATAAATATAATGGCCATTGTAAAATACGCTCAATTGATTATTGCATGTACTTTTTCATTTATTTAATTCTTTGATGAGATTGATATCCAAATTGACAACTCTTGGCCATGATAACAGGGTATCCCACAACCATGCACACACTTAGCTCATTTCAATGTTTTATGCTCCTCACATGCCAGTGACATGCTACGGAGCCAAGCACATACCTATGAGAGTGTAAGCATGTAGAATTACCATGTGCATGCCTATTCTGCATGGTTCATGTATTCATGCAAATTTTATAATTCACATATAGTAATACAATGTATCTCAAAAACTAAGTCTGTTACCCCACATATGACCTTGTATAGCAATAAGAAATCTTTCCATAAAATATAAAAAGATTCCAAAAACTTTTGGGAAACTGTATTGAGCTGATACATGTACCTCCAAGGGAACATAAATTAGGGTTCAGTCTTCTTATGACATTATAACTCCCCACACAGTCCCTCAACACCTGTTGAGGGACTTTGCACCCAACTACTCAATTATCATGATAAACAACATGGTAAAATTACCATTACAACACAAGGGGGGTAATTAACATGAGTCATTGTTATGCAAATTATCAATTAAGCCGAGAAAACTGTTAAAGTCTACTATTCTTAACCCCTTTACACTGATATAATTCATTCAGATTATTTTGTTTTATCTCTTACACAGTATAGTTCATTTTGATGGACACAAACATGGTGACGGTTATCCAACAAATCACAAAGCAAATATTTATAGTTATTTTAACCTCTGGTTACATTTGGGGCATGACCTGATGAGTTCAAGTTCATACATGTACTGTACATTAATTGATTGATAAGATTCTCTAATACTGCAATACAAAGGCATACTTTATAATGCATAAATTAAATGATGGTCAGTGTATAGATAGGTACATGTAACTGATGACCTTCACAATGACCTTCACAATTAACTACTGTATTAGCTGTATTAGAAGTATACTGTAAAACATGTTGAAAAAGAGACATACTATTTTAGCAAATTGCGGTAAATTGACGTAATAGCGAATTTTCTTGTCTTTGTTAGTCCCCGTTCGGACACAGTCCGAAAACGAGGACTTATGTTTTGACCTCTGTGCGTTTGTGTGTAACTTAGAAATGCCTGGACCAATCACAATCAAACTTCACACATACATCATACATGGTATTATACATATGCACGTCAATTTGTTTCACGATCTGATTCAAGATGGCCGAATGTCGGCCATTTTTGTGCTAAAAATCATCAAAATCAGCATTTTTCGGCTGTTTACAAAATTGTTCAAAATTGGTATATATGTTACACATTATAGGACCTTGATGCACATCATTTTGTTTTTCAGATAAGATTCAAAATGGCAGACAGGCGCCCATTTTGTTTTAATGAATGTGGTTCTAGTGCCATATCTTTGACTTGCTTTGACTGATTATGTTCAAATTTTAAATGTCAGTGTTCTCCACAAGAGGTTTTAGGTGGGCGGCCCGCCCATCAAGTTTTACGGCCGCCTAGTAACTCTCAACACCCGCCCACCAATGTACATCAGGCTGAAATTATTTGTAAAAGACTTGCATTGTTCTTCCCAAGCCTAAACGAAAGAGTAGTTGCCCAACCCTTTATTTTGCTATTGTTTCAAGAGTCCAAACGTAATCAATGATCACTGGAAGTCTGCAAGCAGTTATCAAGTGTTTTCATGGCAATGTGTCAATCGCCTGAATTCATTGTCGCCCGACATTGTTGCCACTTATTGCTCACGATACGCAACTACAGTGGTTTCAATTTACAGCTGTATTTTTAATAATCGTCTTCCGATCACGAAAGAAAGATGTAAATACGAACGAAATGTATATTCACAGAAAATAAACAAATATATTAGCACATTGCATGTAAACTCGAACAAAAATTAAAATTCTAGCCGTATTTATAACGTTCGCTCGATTTTCATCATGAAAACAGCATGGAGAAGCAAACTGGTGACCTTTTTGTTCAAATTTATAACATAAATAAGACATTACAGGTTCCTGATGCATGTCATTTTATTTTTCAGATTGGATTCAAAATGGCTGATTTTGAATGCTGTTCCAGAGCAATATCTCTCAATATGGACAAGTACTTGTTTGACGATCAGATACAAATGTCAATCATTTTAATGTTAAAAAAATTATATTCCTCACATGGTTATATTCCAGCTATATTACTATAAACATAACTATATATCTTAAATTTGATAACTAACAGGGACTGTGCCATGCATGGCTTGTTGATTTCCTGTTTTCACAATACTTGTCTTTCGCCTGCCAAAACAAATGCGCAGTTATTACCTCCATAAAAACAAAGAAAAACTGTCAAGCGTATTAAGGAAGCGTTCCAGATTATCATGTTTTCTGTGTTGTTTGAAAAGTGTGTGTATGGAGAAAAAGACTGTGTTTGGCCGCCATTTTGAATTTATAATGAAGTCATTAGCAACATCTTAAATTCGTAAATTATTTATTTCGCTAAATTCGCTAAAAAGACATGCTCACGAAAGAGACATGTTATACAGTATATCTGATAGAAATAATGCATAAACACTTAAAAAAAATGCATTTATTCTAACCCGGATATATCATCTAAATAAATGCAAACATTACTATAAAATCTGTATTAGAAGCTGCGGTTTCTATTAAAATGGTACAATGCAATGAGGGGATGCGGTTATTATATTTATCATCCACACACATGAGAAATTATGATTTTTTGGTTCATGATTGTTAAAAAAGAATGGGCGATTTTACGGTACTAATATAAACATGTATAAACACAAATTACTGTTAGTAAAAGGATTAATTATTCACTGGGTTTAAATTTTGCTTATTTCGCTGACTGGAAATTGGGCTAAATTAAAACCCAGTGAATATGTAAAATTGAGCATGGAACACATTATCCAAATGATAAAACCGTGAATTTAAAACCCACTGATTATGCCTGAAATGGTAAATCAGCGAAATTTAAATTAGTCATTTTACAGTACATGACATGAGTTATTAGTTATGTACATTAACAAATTATATGATACTTACGGCATAAAAAGAACGATCCAACACATCAATGAAAACAAACCCAGAATAAATCCTGCATATTGTACAGGTGATGCAACACATTCGTGAAATATTTTCCATATCCAGACTACTCCACCAACCTCTGGAGATGTACAATTTTCATCTTTACTTGATATCAACATTGGTACATTGGATAACCATAATGTATCCTCCATCTTTCTTTGTGTGTCAGCTATGAGGTGTGGAATCTAAATACAATAATGATGTAACAACATTTATATTTTGCTCGCTAATATATTTATATGTTGGCTGAACTATGCCACTTATGCTGTGTTCACACGTGTATCTAAAACCTGGCACCCTGAATTTACAAAAACTGTTTTAGCATGTATTAACGGTAATGCCACCTTAAAAGCACGCCCATGTCAGCCTCACTCTGGAGTGCCATTCATTGCAAGTACTAGTACTGTAGAATACTTTATTTGCGCTGGAATTAATTTTCGCTGAAAAGGCTTTTTGAGCGTTTTGTATGGAATTTATTTTCACTGATTTTTGAAGTTTAATGTGAAATATAGGAAAAAAAGTATATTCGCTGGATTTTATTTTCACGGAATCATCCTTTCAGCGAAAATAGCGAAAATAAATTCCAAGCGAAAATAAAGTATTCTACAGTATTTTAAAGAAACATGGCGGCCAATACTCAGTTTAGTCTTTATACATTTATGAACACAGGACCAATTAAAACCACTGATAACTATTGTTTACCAAGTTAGTCAAACCTTCTCTGTCGCAAGTGTGACCCTGTACATCACTACTGTTGACTTTTGTTTGGATAAAATACTGCTACAACAGTTGTGTTCACGTTACACAAAGTACAGGCTAAGATTTAAGCTGATTTAGGCTTATCTAGCATATTTGCATTCCGGCAAGACCCAATTGCGTCCACGCACAGGGAAGGCCAGTCGTTAGGACGGGCTAAGGGGCGCCATCAGTCGGTACCCTTTGGCAAGCCGCTATTTACAAACGAAAAATGGATGACACACCCGTGGTTCTATTTCAGCTGCTGACATGTTTCATTCTAATTTTGAAGCGACGTGCACAGGAACACGAGAGGACACGGACCCAACTTATTTGGATGCACAGAAACAGTATACAACGGCAGAATAGAATACATAGTTTTATTAATGCATGTCGTAGACAGCGAACCAAATTTATTTTGTCTACACCCAAAGGTCGCCGCAGAGCACACTTAGCCCTTAGCCCGTGCTAAGCATTCACGCACGTTTTCTTAGCACAGGCTAAGGAATTTGACCTCTTAGACCGTGCTAAGGAGCTGTGCGTGAACGCAATTAACATGTAACTTTTATTTAAGCGGTAACAAGTGTTAAAGTTAAATATACTATAAATATACTTCTAAACAATAGAGATTATCACATCTCACTGCTGTTACGCATGCTGTGATTGGTTGAGACTCACTCACATGACATTGAAAAAATTTGGATATTACATGGGTATATCACAACAATGACGTCACTGAAACTAGTGCTCAACAATACTGCGCATAACAAATTGTCGTTCGCTGCACTGGTGCTGCCCCGGCTGCTGTAGTTTTCGGGGTTGCTTTCAAGGTTTTGAAGGAACTTTATCCATGAACTTCCCACGGAAGTTTCAGCCTTATCTTAGCCTTATCATGGAAGGTACATGTACTAACGGAAGGAGCCACGACGCCTCTTAACTGGCTTATTTCCTTTTGTTTCAACCCAAATTAATCCTGATAAGGACATTGTCTAGCTCATCTTTGATGTCGATGATCGTTTGCGATTGTTTACACAAGTAACGAGTTAGCGGAGTATGATATAACCTCACCGATTTTTAATGTGACCATAAAATATATGCGCATTATGAAACTACGGTCATCACACATGCGCTCTGGGTTTGTTTATGTGTGAAAGGTCAAAATACGTATTTCACAACCGGAAACTCAACAGATGAACGTTTGATTTCACAAATTTCACATGTTTAATTATTAGCAACTGTAACTATAACAAGATCCCGAGTGCATACAACAACAATTCCTAAGGACTCCTAAAAAATATTATCACAGAGAAAGTGTCTAGGCATGCTCTTCTTCGATACTATCTTTTCTGTTGGTGTTCGCTGATGTCCGGTGGTCAAAAATTTCGACAGTTTCGGGTGCCAAACCCACGCACTGACAATGGTACCATTGAAGAATGCAATCGTGTCAAGCAATCATTGATTATGTCTTATCACCATTACGAATACAAAATTCACGATATTTCATCAGTTCTTCTTCAATCAATGTTAGATTTGACAATTTTCCATTAAAGTTCGCCAAGATTACCGGAAACAGCATTCAAACTAGAGGCCATTTTCAATATTGTACAAGCGAGGTTCGACTATTGCTTCCGAAGATGCTCCGAATATTACCGAATGCTCGAGATGGTTGTAACCCATTGTACGAAGGTGCTAAAAGCTAACAAGAACAATGTTTGTGAACAAACATTGACAAACGATCATGGGGTAAAGCTAAAACAATAGCGTCGTGGCTCCTTCCCTTAGTACCTTCCATGGCCTTATCTTATGAAAGTACAAGGGGAGGTGTCTTACAATCAATATTTTTTTACATTTACTTCTTCCATTTTCTGTCAATTTCACAAATTACTTTCACTCATTACAATAGCCACACCTCTAATAAACACTTGTCCCTATAATTCCTAGAAGCCTTTAGAAAAGTATTTCTAGTACTAGTATACTAGTACCTGGGCTTTCAAAGCCATTCTTGAAGAACAAGAAACAGGCTAAGAATATACAAAAATCTTCAGTCATTTTAACTATGATTACTAGTACAGTAACTTAGAAGGCATACGTGTTTAAATAGTGCTACAATTTTAAAACAATACCGAAGCAAATTCAGAAAGTGCAGATTACAGAATAACAGGAAGTAGCACAGAGTCTTGTCATCATGCAGTTGATTTTTTCTCAAGAACAATCTCTCTATGTATTTATGCACGTTTTCTTAGCGCAGGATAAGGTATTTGACCTCTTAGTCCGTACTAAGGAGTTGTGCGTAAACGCAGAATTGTGGAAATGTGGCTATACAAATTCAGGATTCTAACTGGATGTCTGTTAACCTCTTAGACAGAGCATAAGTGAATACAGCAAGACTGCTTATAGCAACAAAGGGTAGTT